AAAGGTGAAGGGGGGAAAGGTGGGGAAAGGCTGGCAAACTTTCAGGCTACTCCCAAATTTTGTGTAACACTGGCTAACTTGCAAATCAATCAGGAACCAAGAAAAGCCAGAGTTGTGCAACCTTTGTCGGGTCCACGTGCCTTGCGCCCTGGGTTCCCGTCTCCCTGGGGAGATGTCGGGAGCCGGGAGGCGAAGGGAGTCCTTCTGAGAGCCAGAACGCAGGAAAGGCTGCCACCCCGTGGGGACACAGCTTTTCCAGGCAATCCCTGCCTCTCTCCGGGGCTGTCCTGCCAGAATCCGGGCGACTTAAGTCCAAAAGTAATGGATCAGCCAGGGGCGGGAGGGAGGATGCAGGATTCATTAACTGCCTGCTCCCTTGCAGAGAGGGCTGTGAGAGCCCTGTGTGCCTTCTCCAGGAAAGGGTGAGGAGGGTCTTCCTTATGCCCCTACCAAGAGGGGAGACAAGGAAGGAGCCTTGCCCAAAATGCTGAGGGATAGCGTCCTGGCTGGTGGCCTGCAGGTCAGATCCTGCCAGCTCTTGCTCCCAGCTTTTTCTTGGAGGAAACAGGATCCTGGCAGAGGTGACATACCCTGCCCAAGCAGTGCAATACTGAGGAGGGCAGAGGGCAGGTACAGCACCAGCAGCTGCTGCTGCTCTCCATGTCACTGCCACCCCACTGAGCTACTGGAGCCTCCGGGAAGAAGGGGAATTGCCTGGAGGAGGGTGCACATCCCTAGACCGCTGTCTGCTGCATCCTCCTCAGAACCCTTTAACAATTCCTCTAGAGGGGAAACTAAAGTCATTTCTGCTTTCTTTAGGCAAGCAAGGTAATCAGTTTGTGTGGAAACAGAAGGCAGGTAATAAAAACACACTGCAAAAAGGATGAATAGTCACCCTGAGCAGAAGCCCCTGGTTACAGGCCACCCTACACCAAATTGCCTGGATGCTTTGAAGGTTCCCTGTGGGTAGGGTCCTCTGATGCCTTTCCCTCCTTGACAAAATCATCCACTGAATCACTAACCAAAAAACCTCAAAGAAATTTTGTTAATCCTTGAGGAGTATTATCAACACCTTATTAACAGGTGAATTTGCATAGAAAAGCTGTGGTGAAGAGCTTCTTGCTGAAACTGTGGTCATAGGCTATGGATGACAAGAATTTCTTTAAAGGAAAATTAATCTTGGCAGAGGAAAACAAGAACTTTTGCAGACCCAAGTGCACAGAAGGGGAGGAAGAGGAGGAATATCCCAAAGCGGTGTGACTAGGAAGACTTCTGGGTGAAAAATGTGAAATATTTTGAGTGACACATAGGCACCAGTAAGCAAGAGGCAGTTTCAAATAAAATGCCCTTTTCATGCCTCCTGGAACAAAATTGCCCTCTCCCAAAGTGGGCTCCTGTAGGCTTTTCCCCTGGACATGCAAATGCAAAAGGCAGCCCAATTTTTGGCAGAAAGCTTTGAGATTGCCCAGTAATTAATCTCAGTGAAAAATTGGTTTAAAATAGTGTCAGACGCAGAGGGGATTTATTGCTTTCTAATTACCAGGCAGTAATCACCCTCCTTGCCTGCTTCTCCCTGATTCTGCAGCACTCCCCTCTCCTGCAGCCTTGCCCCTCTCTCTGCTTCTCCTCCAGCTGCCCAGTTCCCAGCAGGCTCTACTATCCTGCTGTGATACTGATCCCAATAATGCCCCCAGCACCCCTGTCCTTGGGAGGTTTGGACCAGGATGAGCCCTGGGACACACCCACTTTCTCTGTATAAGAGGCAAAGCTTTTGCTGCTGACTGCCAGCCCTCCCTGGGGTTTGGCCTTGATGAGATGGAAGCAAGCGCTTTTTAAATTTAAATAGTCCCAGAGCTTCTGTGTTTATGGCTCATATTAATATTTAAACCCATCCCATGACAAAAAAAACCAAACAACAAAAACCTGCATTTTTCTCTCTTTTTTACAGCAAAGAGGAGGAGGCTGGTGGGGTCAGCACCAGCTGGAGCAGACACTCTTTCTCTGACTGTTGTCACCTCCCAATGAAGGCACAGACATGTGCTCTTCCCTGGGAAGGATGTCCTTGTTTTGTTGTCACCCTGCCTTGATTTGAGGGATCCAGGAGCCCTCAAAGACATGATTGAGACAAACGTGTCTGCTCCCAGGGAAGCAGTGACCTTCTCTACTTGGGAGCCAAGGTGGACCTCAGAAGCTCCACCTCCCATTGCAGGACTTGGATATAGAGATCTCAACCAAGAGGAAAAGTATGCCATGTCCAAGCTGATTTTACCTATGGGGTTAATTATGGGCATGTGGGGTTATCAGCCTTTCCTAAACACCCTGGATTTCCATCTGTGTGGAAAGCTATTTGAGTGGAGCACCAGTGCTGAAACTCAGTCTTGAGCACTCACATCTGTGCAGATTTGGGAGCTGTGGATTTCATGTGTGGCAGCTGCAGGGAGAGCTCGTACCTGCACCCTACCTGCCCTGCCATCAAGCAACTTTAGCCATTAATTTGGGATTAAATCCTTCACATTGTTCCACGGAGATGAGGTCTGCACTGCTGTCTGTACTGACCCAATGAACTGAAGGAATGGCATGGTTGTCAGGCTGCTGAATTTCGTCCTTTTTCCCATCCTTTTGTTTTGCTTGCATGAAGGATAACAGGAACACGAAAGAAAGGGCGAGCCATCATCCCGACAGTGGAAAGCTCATCCTTTAAGCAGTGATAAGCACCATGCTGACCTCCAAAAACCTTCCAAAGGAACAAATGAAACCCCCGAAGCCAATTGCGTGTTTCCTATATCACTTTATTGACCGCCACTGACCACGTTCTCAGGTTGAGCGCCAGATACCAGTGGGAGAGGTGGAGCTACCCTAGAATTACAGGGAGAGCAAGGGAGACGGTGTGTTAACGCACAGGCTGGGGAGAGCTGGCTGGGGATGTGAAGCCTCTGCACAGCGGTGAGCCCCCCTCTCTCCCCCGAGGGCCTACTAAGACAGTAGAAAGACGTGCTTGTCCTCCTGCCAGTTGTCCCTGAGGGAAACGACAGGGTAGTGGTGTGAACAGATACACTTAAACACTTCGCTGAAAAGAAAAAAAAAAAACAACCAAAACCACGTTTCAACTCCCCGAAGGTGAGATGTTATTATTTCTCCTGCGGCTGCAAGGAACTCGTGGCAGGTTCATCGCACGCACGCAGGATCTCGAGTGTGGGGCTTGGCTCTGTTGCTGTTTTGTTGGGGGTTTTTTTTTAAGAGTAACCAGTTTAACTCTGAGTGGGGTAGAGCAAGTCTGCAGGGCTTTTCCCCTGCTCCAAGCCTTGCCTGGAGACTTGGTGCACCAGGAGCCAGCATTGCTCGTGCACTCCCTCCTACCTGATGGTGGATATGGGCTACAGCACCAGAC